GTACCGGGGATTTAACTCACGACCTTGTGCTTGCCAGGCAGGTGCTGTGCCGCTGAGCTAAATCCCCAGCCCCTGAACTCACGACCTTGCTCTTGCCAGGCAGGTGCTTTGCCACTGAACTAAGTCCCGAGCCCAGAAACACTTGTTTCCACTGTGAATTTTCGGTGTTTATGTTTTTTTTCCCTTTTAACAGGAGATTTTATTATCATACACGGCAAATAAAGACTGAAATATCTGTTGTTCCCTGGCTGATATATTAAACATATTGTGACGTGCCCCACGTTTGATACCAGAGCTCTACAATGTATCAGTGTTGTTTTATGACTTGTATCTCCCTGTCCCCCAAAGCCTCATGTGGTCATAGTTCAGGCTTTCCGACATGGAAGGACCTGCAATATGATGCTGAGATTTGATTCACAGTGCGATGCTAGGATTAAGGATGTGAGTGCTGCTGCCATGGATAATATATAAGGGGCAGCAAGAGGGTTGCTGTTGTCACTCACCGCATGCTGCTTGCTGCTTTGCTGCCTTCTGCCTGCCGTGGGCTGTTTCTCCTCTGTGATGCTCCTCTGCCTCACCACCCGGCCTTGGAGCCATCATGCACTGAAATCTCTACAACTCTGAGCCTAACTAAGCCTTTTCTCCCTTTTCTTTGGATGTTGGGTATTTTGTCTCAGCCATGAGATAAAAAGGAACTGAGACATACTCCGTTTTCATGTGAGCCCAGAGATTTTGCAGTGTAACCTCAACTTCCTGTGAGATGAGTGCAAATTAGTGTTTGATAAACAAGACATGAGGTAATACTGTCTTCCTTCTCTGTAGTCTGTTATTCTCTGTCCTCACAGAGCAGTGCCCTTCAGAGTGGATTTTGCAAGTTTGCACCTCAAAGAAGCTCTCACATTTTCAGGTTTATTTGGTGCTCTGAAAATCTTTTTATTTTTCCACTCATTATTAGTGCCTGTAAAGTTTGCACAGTATTGGAGGTCAGTACATCTTATAGGCAGTTTCTTCATATGCATCCCACATGTCTCCCTTATGCCGCACTTCAGGTCACTGAGCCGTAGGATAACATGGCTCCCTTAATGTAATTTCACAGTTCTTATCCGCTCTCCAGAGGAAAGTGTAATTGTCTTCATAAGCTTTCCAAATGATCATTCATAAATTTCCTTAGTGTTCAATTTAGCATTTGTCTGTGAAAGCAGATTATAGTTTCAAAATGCAGTCTAAATAGATTCAGAAAAGGATATATTCCCTCAATAACAAGTTGACAAAAAAAAAAGATATTTTCTTTGATTCCTCAGAGTAATTCATCAGATATTTTTCTATGTACTTTTGTTGAATTCTGACTTGTAGGCGCCTTCTATGTTGCTTTAGTGACTTTGTAGAAGTTACCCTGATTTAACTAGCAGGAGAAGCAGAGTTCCCATTCCATTGTTGCTTTAGCCCTGAATTGCGGTGTAACCTCAACTTCCTGTGAGATGAGTGCAAATTAGTGTTTGATAAACAAGACATGAGGTAAATATTTGGAAATCTCAGCCTTGTAAGAGCTTTTTATGAGTAAAATGGGGTTGTTTCTTGTCACGAATCTCAGTTTTCTTCCTGGAAATACATGTCTGATGATGTAGGAGGCTGTGAATTTCGAGGATGTGGCTGTGAACTTCTCCAGGGAAGAGTGGGCTTTGCTGGATCCATCCCAGAAGAAGCTCTACAGAGATGTGATGTGGGAAATCTTTAGGAACCTGGCTGCCATAGGTAAGGAAGGTATCATTTTCTCATTCATGCATTGGGTTTTGCTCACCAGGACAGTTTTCTTAATGGGAAGATGGGAACTTTATAGGGCATATATCAGCCGTGATCACATTCTACCCTGAATCAAACTGGGGTCTACTTATCTATATATTCAGTCATCTTTTTTTTTTTTTTTCAACACTTTAGGAAAGAACTCTGATGACCAGCAAATTGAAGATATTTACAGAAATTGCAGGAAGCATCTAAGGTAATTTGTACTCAGAGAAGAAAATTCTGCAAGTGTCAGCATGGTAATCCTGAGCAAAATACACAAGCAAGACCAAATTCAAAGTTCTGTCATGTCAGAAAATTTCTCAATGGGCATATACACATTGACTATCTCTAATCTGACAATTGAGTATTAGAAATATTCCAATATTTGAAATGTAGGTTTTGCTCACATTATTGCAAAGCTGCCATCTTTGTGGTAATGAAGTAGAACCAATGGCTGAATGAGTTGGTGACTCCCTGTAATCCCAGCACTCTGGACACTGAGGAAGGAAAATTGGCACAAGTTCAGGGCTAGAATGGGCCACATACTAAGTTTAAAACTAACCCTAACTAGAGAGTGAAAGCATGTCTAAAATTTATTTTAAAAGCACAAATTTTGTTCCATGCACAGATTTAGAGATACAGTGAATGAAATTCCATTCAGGCACTGAGGACAGGAAGGTATAAAAGAAATTTTGTGTATAAAATGAGAGCTAACTTCTAATTACATGTATCTGTTTATAGAGACCACTTTCATGTCAAACAAATTATATATGATACTATATGTAGTTAAATGTGATGTACACATTCAGTATTTGAAAAATTGCTAATGTTGTGGATGTCTTCAAAATCCAAATGAATACCACTGTTTTTTATTTTGTTTTGTCTTTTTGAGACAGGGTCTGGCTATGCAGTTCAGGCTGGCCTTGAGCTCTCTTTGTAGCCCAGGCTGGTCTCAAACTCACAACTATCCTCCTCTCTCAGCCTCCCGAGTGCTGGGATTACAGGCGTGCACCACCATCCCCAGCCCTGAATACCACGGTTTTGATCATATTTCTTTTCAAGCAGTCCTCCCAAGCCCACAGTCCATTCATGTTCCAGAATATTGAAAGCTGCATCTCCATGTTGTTCGTGGAACTGTTAGCGTCTATGGAAATGTGTATAGAGATTCCAAAGAGAAGGAAAAATAGACATTCTGTTTTATCCAGGTATATACATGGTCTCACTGTGTAGTCCACACAGGCCTCAAACTCTCACTGATACCTCTGCCTCAAACTCACCACCCCTGGCCATATCCAACTGTGATTTTCTTGTGTATATTTCCCAAAATGTTAAAGTAATCATATTACAGTGGTGCTTAAATACTCATTTGTAGCAGCACAACATAGAAAAGCTAAGCTCTGGAAAAAGCCTAAATGCCCACTCACAGGTGAGTTGGTTAAGGACGTATGGAATAGCCTTGGCATAAATGGGCAGGCTTGGAATCCCAGTTCTCTGGGAATCTGAAGCTGGAAGATCATGCATTCCTGCTCAGCCTGAACCTTTATGAGTGATGGACACTTTTTCCAAGTAAACATAAAGAAGCACATGGATGTATCTCAGTGCTGAAACTCTGGGTTCAGTTTCAAGCACTGAAAAACGTGTGTACATATAATGGCGTAGTCTTCATCCACAAATGAATGCAATGATGGCATCTGCCAAAATATGGAAGGATCTAGAGCCCATAATGTGAGATTAAGTAAGTCAGGGAGAAATTTCAGTATCACAAGTTATATTTTGTATGAGAACCCAACAACATGAATTACGGAGTAAATAGAGGAGAGGTGGTGGAAGAGAGAGGCAGACATTTCTAGTGGATGAGGAGGCTCAGTGGAAGGGGAGGGGATGGAGTCTTGGAGGAACAGGTATCAAAAATAAACAGTATGTGGAAAATGTTCCATCAAGATTTGTTTCAAATCCTGAAAGTTTAAGTATTGTGTATTGCACATGAGTCAGTTCCAAACTCCCAAACATATCCTGCTGTTTAGGTGAAAGTTGTCACCAAGCCATCATGCAGGGTCTATGGTTAGTGGATGATGTAATATTCTTATGGGACATCAAAACAGATCTCCTCATGGTGACTCATTTCTAACAGACTATTAAATGTGATTGGTTGCTTTGTTTCTCCTTTTACAGAAGTGAAGAGGTAGAACAATCTTATCAATATAAATTATGGTATCAACATGGAGAAGTGGTTTCTCAGACTCCAGATAAGACCATGCACATAAAAGATGTTGGTGTAAAACCCGGTGAAAGCCTTTCCTCTAGGAGGCCCCTGGTTGGTCCTTCATCAGCAGATGGTACCATCATAGCTAACACTGCACTCAAACCACATGAGCAGCAGGGATTTCAAGAGAAGCTGTCTACCTGTGACAAACATGGCAAAGCCTGCACAGAACTCCAGTCCTTTCAGAAACATGCAAAGACAAGTCCTGGGGAGAAACTCCAAGAATATGCGCCATGTGTGAAATCCTATTCTGACTGCACTGAAGAAAGTACCATTGAAGAGAAGCCAGATGTAATTTCTTTCATTATACCCGACGATGTTCAAATGGAGGAAAGGAATCACTGTGAAGTGAACATGGATACATGCGTATCATGGCTCAAAGCTTTGAGTTTTCACCAGGAGAGTCAGACACATGAAAAACTTGACTCTGGAGAAAAAACCTATGCAGGTAAACACTATGGAAAATCCTGCACTAAAAATTCACTGGGTAATTGTGGAAGATCTCAGAATACAGAGAAACCCTATGTATGTAGGCAATGTGGGAAAGTTTTCAACAGAAAAGATAATTGGCAAAGGCATGAACAGACTCACACTGGGGAGAAAGCCTATGTGTGTAAGCAATGTGGGAGAGCTTTCAGCACACGTGGTGTTTGTCAGATACATGAAAGGACTCACACTGGGGAAAAACCCTATGCATGTAAGCAATGTGGTAAAGCTTTCAGTACAAGTGGTATTTGTAAAAATCATGAACGGACTCACACTGGGGAGAAACCCTATCTATGTAACCAATGTGGGAAAGCTTTCAGCAGACAAGATAGTTGTCAAGAACATGAAAGAACCCACAGTGCAGAGAAACCCTATGTATGTCAGCAATGTGGGAAAGCTTTCAAAACCCACAGAACTTGCCAAAGTCATGTACGGACTCACACTGGGGAGAAACCTTATGTATGTAACCAATGTGGGAAAGCCTTTGTCAGACTCAGAGATTGTGAATCACATATACGAACTCACACTGGGGAGAAACCCTATGTATGTCAGCAATGTGGGAAAGCCTTTATCAGACAAAGAGATTGTGAAACACATGTACGGACTCACACTGGGGAAAAACCCTATGTATGTCAGCAATGTGGGAAAGCCTTTGTCAGACACAGAGATTGTGAAACACATATATGGACGCACACTGGGGAGAAACCCTATGTATGTAAGCACTGTGGGAAAGCCTTTGTCAGACACAGAGATTGTGAAACACATGTACGTATTCATACTGGAGAGAAACCCTATGTATGTAAGCATTGTGGGAAAGCTTTCATCACATCTCATAAGTGTCAAATACATGAAAGGATTCACACTGGGGAGAAACCTTATACATGTAAACAATGTGGAAAAGCTTTCCGCACAACTAGTCTTTGTCAAACCCATGAACGGACTCACACTGGGCAGAAACCGTATGTATGTACACAATGTGGGAAAGCTTTCAGCAGAAAATCAGGTTGGCAGGTACATAAAAGGACTCACACTGGTGAGAAACCCTATGTATGCAAGCAATGTGGGAAAGCCTATGTTGCACACAGAGATTATAAAACACACGTAAAGACTCACACTGGGGAGAAACCGTATGTATGTAACCAATGTGGGAAAGCTTTCAGCAGGCAATATAGATGTGAAGTACATAAAAGAACTCACACAGGGGAGAAACCCTATGCATGTAAACAGTGTGGAAAAGCTTTCAGCACAAAGGCTGTTTTTAAATATCATGAACAGACCCACACTGGGGAGAAACCCTATTTGTGTAACCAGTGTGGGAAAGCTTTCAGCAGACAATATAATTGTCAAGTACATAAAAGAACTCACACAGGGGAGAAACCCTATGTATGTAACCAGTGTGGGAAAGCCTTCAGCACAAGTGCTATTTGTAAAAATCATGAGCGGACTCACACTGGGGAGAAACCCTATGTATGTAAGCAATGTGGGAAAGCCTTCAGTGGAAGAGCAGGTTGGAAAATACATGAACGATCTCACTTGGGAGGAGCCTATGTATGTAAGCAAAGTGGGAAAGGCTTTGTCACACAGACATTGTAAAACATACATGGGAGAAACCCCATGTATATAAGCAATGTGGAAAAGCTTTCAGTAGACAAGATAGTTGTCATGAACATGAAAGGATCCACAGTGGAGAGAAACCCTACATATGTAAGCAGTGTGGGAAATCTGCAGATTGCGCAGACATTATCAGCGGCAGACATTAAGGACTCCCACTTGGGAGAAACAATATTATGTAAGCAATGTGGAGGGGCTGGGGATATAGCTCAGGGCACAGCGCCTGCCTGGCAAGCGTGAGGTCTTGAGTACTATTCCCAGTACCCCCCCAAAAGTAAAGCAATGTGGGAAAGCCTTTAGTGCACACAGAGATTGTTGGAAAAATGAAAGAACTCACACTCCACGGAAAATCCTGTGTATGTAAATGTGAAAACTTTCACTACACATTATGTTTCTTACAGATGAAAAGTCACACTGGTGAGTAAACCTGTGTAGGGGAGCAATGTGGGAAAGCTTTCTGCTCACGTGATCATTGTCGGAGACATGCAGGATCACACACTGTTGAAACACTATGTAAGCAAGGTGTGAATGCACTCAGTACACAGGTGTTGTCAAATACATGAAATAAATTACTTTTGAGAAAGTCTGTAGAAGCAGTAAGGAAAATGCTCTGCAGTGAGCGCGTGCACAATAAGAAGGGAGAATACAATTAGTAAATGAAGTGACTTAGACATGAAGCAGACTGAGGAGAACATTTTATTCTATACAATATAAAACCTTTTTCTGTCCCCAGAAGTATCATTACATATCTGAAAGAATTCATAGTGAAAGGACTTGGGACGTATGTGAGCAATGTGGATATTTTTAAATTAGCTCAAATACATGAAAGAACTCATATGACAGGGAGCATTATAAATCCTTCAATTCTTCCACCTTCCATGGGATACACGGAAGAACTCTTATGAAGAGAACCCTGTGTGAATAATGTGAGAGATCATTGTGTGATGCCCATAACATGAGAAAATAAAAAAAAATCATGAGGGTTACTAAAAATACAGTATACAACAAATCTTCGTTTTCACACTACTTTTGATAAAGCACTGCATTGCCCACTGGAGAAATTCATATCAATGTTTATTATGTGGGAATAGCTATAGTCATTTTCTTTTAATTCATATGTCAAATAAACACTGTTGTGAGAAACCATTAGTATCAGGGTTGTACACAAGTTTTTAGTTGTCCTGCATGCAAAAGTGAATATTGTATCGAAACCCTATGAATGTAGAAAGGTCTGAGTTATAACTCATGGTTTCCAAATCCTTTGGTCACTTTTTTTTTTTTTTTTTTTTTTTTTTTTTTTTTTTTTTTTTTTTTTTTGTCTTTTTCAGACAGGGTCTCTCTATGCAGTTCAGGCTGGCCTTGAGCTCACTTTGTAGCCCAAGCTGGTTTCGAACTTGCAATGATTCCCTTGCTTCAGCCTCCCAAATGCTGGAATTATAGGTGTGCGCCACCACGTGCAGCCTTTGGTCACTTTTCATACAGTTTAAACAATGAGTTGTAATTAAATGAGATATCAATTATTCCTCCAGAAAATATACATATGGAGGAGATATAGGGTTAACATTACAACCTCTCTCTTAAAATAGATCTCTGGATGATAAAAGTTTAAGTTCCCTTTTAAGAATTATTGTGACTCCCCTGACCGCCCCCCATGCGGGAGCTGAGCAACTCAGAAAAGCTCCAGGAGCCTGCGTGACCATGCCCTCATACCTCCCCCAATGAAGTGGGAATCAAGCTGGGTCCTGGGCAGTGTCTGGAACCTTGACCACAACCTGCCCTCCCCTGCAACCTTCTGAAAGTGGGGCTGAACCCTGGACAACCTCAGGAACTTTGGTGAGCCACGCCCACCCCTCCTCCACCAGTATGTGAGCCAGGAAGAGTTCAGACAGCTTCAGGGACCTCAGTGGTCACTCTCTGCACCCCAAGCCCACACACCATTGCAGGAGCCACACTGAGCACTGGGGACCTTCAGGTCCTTACCCCCTTCCCCACTCCCACACCATCATGTGAGTGAGGCTGCACTCCAGGGAACCTTCAGATCTTCAAAAATGACAAAACAAAGGAGCAAAATGCAATCTTAGACCATCCCACCCAAAACAAGTCCAGGAGACATGAACATTGAAGAGCCTGGAAGTCATACACCTGGCATTTCTGAAATGATAGCAACTGAAGTAAAGAAACAACTCAGGCCACAGAAGACATCAGATTAGAAATAATCTCTACGATAAAAAAAATAACAATAATGAAAGAATTGCTCAGCACATCTAAAGAAGACATAGATAAGAAAATAGAGAAGCATGAAAAAATGGAAACCTTGAATGAACAACATACAAAAAAATCAGAATGCATGAAACAGATATCCAGGAAATTAAAAATTTAAAATTAAAAATCAAATTAAAATTTAATCAAAAATTAAAAATTCCTTCAAAGTTGGCAAAACTGCTTGAATGAAGCTGAAGACAGACTTTAAGACTTTGAAAACAGCATTGCAGCTAATGATCTTGAAAGGAAGGATCTTTTCAAAATAACAAGGAACCAGGAAATAACAATTCAACAACTGCAAGATGAAGGAAAGAAAAATAATGTTAGATTCATAGGTGTCAACGAAATAGCTGGAATCATCACAAGTAACATAAAAAGACTATTTGCAGAAGTAATAGCAGAAAATTTCTCAAGTATGGAAAAAGAATCAGACATACAGGTAAGTGAGGCATATAGAACTGCTATTAGCCATAACCAATATAAATCTACACCTAGATATACAGTGATCAAGATCCCAGAAATTCAGCAAAAGAACAGAATATTAAAAGCTGTTAGAGAAAAGAAACAGATCACCTATAAATGAAAGCCCATCAGAATCACAGCAGCTTTCTCAACACAAACCATCAAGTCAAGAAGACCTTGGAGTGAAGTGTTTCAGGCCCTTAAAAAAAAACTTCCAACTCACATTGATGTACCCAGCAAAACTATCCTTCAAAATTAATGGAGAAATAAAATATTTCCATGATAAAGAACAACTGAAGAACTTCATGAGCACCAAACCAACTCTACAAAGAGTACTGAAAGATATTCTCAAAAGAGATTAAAGTGATCACACTTTCAAGAACAATAGAAAGGAACCAACCAGCAGAGCAAGCAATTGGAGGGAAAAAGGAGGAACCAACAGCAGGAACATAACATGACAAAGATAAACCAATACATGTCAGTTATAACCATCAATGTAAACAGTCCCAGTTCACCAATCAAAAGAAGCAGACTGGATCAAGAAACAAACTCCAACAATATGCTGTATACAAGAAACACATTTATTTCAAAAGAAAATTCATAGACTGAAAGTCAAAAGATAGAAAGCAATACTCCATGTGACAGGAACTCAGAAAAAAGTGGGGGTAGCTATTCTGTTTGCAGACAATGTGAACTTGAAACCAAGAATGATCAAAAGAGATATGGATGGTCACTACATACTTTTTAGGGGAAAACTTCTTGAGGAAGAGTTAAAAATCATAAATATCTATGCACCAAATATAGGAGCACCCAACTATATAAGACAAAGTTTAACAGACACAAAAAATGAAA